ATGTGGCGGTTGGTCGTGGTAAGTACTTAAATGTATATAAGTGAGTTTGATACCCAATGCGGCCATAGATAGGATGACGTATCTACAAAAGCCGTGAGAAAGTAGTTTAAACTTAGAGGCTAAGACAAAAACCACTGCTGCAGTCATCAATTATACAACTTTCCAGTGATACATGAAGACCGACTTCGACGGAAGTTTGAGCTCTATGGCTACCCAACGTTTCCTAGGCCAACATCCTTACTCGAAACAGAGATTCAATGCCCTTCATACATCAGTTACTACCCTCTTTACCCAGCATTAACTTTTTGTTTTTTTTTTAAATCAGAGCCCAAATTTTCACATGCTTGATTATTTGTTTAAGACCCGGTACATGCAAATTCAGTTCTTTTTGTTGTTTTTGCAACGCAATTTTACGAGCGACGTTTCAACGGTCAATGTGTGCCAGGCATTTCGCAACAACTAAATGTTGATTTACTCCATGCGCCAAACGACGCAACGCTGCTGTTAATTCGAAAAATGAGTTAGTAATGTGAATCAAAATTCGGAGCAATCGGAATCGATTTCACAAACAGCGTCGTATTGAGTTAGGCGAGGTATTCAAGGACGAGCAAATGCGATTGCAAAATAGCTGAGAAATAAACTAGTAGTTAGGTGCACGCCAAGTGGAAGTAGACCAGGGGTCTCAGTGTTCAGCCTGGGCAAATAGAGGATGGGAAATGATATTTGTGAAAATGTTCGAAGATAGCCCACTATTTCTTGTCTCTGTGGTTGAATAAAGTCCATGAAAACACTGGAAACTACACTATCAAAAGTAATTCCTAATATTAATAACATCATATTCGACACATGTAGATAATGAATTGTGACAACGACTTGAACCTGCGACTGTAGGCACCAACCAAATCCGCTAGTGCAGACTGGATATTTAGGACAAGGTGAAAACGGCGAACAGTGTTTCTACTTTCGGTACAACCTCAATCTTTGGTAACTACATTCACAAGCAATGTGGCACATGAAGTAGCAAATCACGTCCCGTTTTGTGACAACGATGCCACTGCCTTTAATAATCAGTTAAAAAGCTCATATTCCATTCATTTACTAAACGAAACTGATAGCTGCTCTACTGGTCATAGTTTTCAATGTATTATTATTGCTGTCGAAGACAGTTCCCTGAAAAAGAGCATCACCGAGTTATTAACATGTACACATTTGACCATCTGGGGACGTGGGGGTTGGAAAGTTGTTGATGAAGTGTGACTACCCACAAATATCCGTGGGTGATGTAAAACGTGAAATTTGGTGGGGATACAACCTTTTAAGCGCCCAACCAGATTGGGTTACCTCATGTTACCTCTGCGTGAAAGCACGCGTTAATAAATTGTTATATTAGCAGAGAAGCCCTGGAAAACATACAACAATCTTCAATTAAAGTAAAGTGCATTGTGATGGTAGTTGGGGTCATGCAAGTATTATAGACTCGAGCCCTACCAAATTAAATGAAATTTGAACGCCATATCATTGCCTTAACTTTAAGGCCACTTGAAAGCCGGCTGTAATCGCCACCAAAAGTGTTCGAAAAAATTGTCCATGCCTAACGTCACCACACCTAGGTTTTCAAAATGGGCCGCTTCTCTTTCATAAATATTGGTCCCCTCCATAACTCGTCAACACTTCGTGGTTAGACAGTGGTCGCCCTTCCCCCATCCTTGACTTATCCACTTTGAGTAAGTACCCCATTTCACGAGGCCATGAGAGCAACGTTTGCAGTACATGGTTATAAGGCCATGCAGATGTACAACTTTGGCCTTACTATCTCTTACAACGGCCTAAAAATGGTAGCCACTGACATCCTTCAGGAGTAATTTTTCTTTCTGGATATTTGATTATTATTCATCTTTTAAAGTTGCGTAGGGTTGTGGGACATGCGATGTGGTGTGCCACCTCTGGCAATGAAAAATTTGGTGTGTCCGCGTCCACACGGAAAGCGTTGACCGCTTATGTTTATGTAGCCAGAAATCGAGCCTAACCATGAGCCCTGCATGTTCGTAGTAAACAAAGAGTTGTAGGCAAAGAGACTGGCAAATGCTGGTGAGGTCATCAAAATTGCAATATATTCCCACGGGCTTGCTGCTACACTTGTCGGACAACACTTCACAACCTCAACTCGCCACATAAATCACGAAACGCGTACGCCAATCAACTGATGTGCTCTCAATCGTTGCTCAATTTACCGTCGCATTTTACAAGCGATCTTATTATTGTAGAGTCGCGAAAAAATATTCCCCAAATGTGGACACATTTTACAATTCTCACCGATGTCCATTTGAGAGTCCATGTGTAGTGCGTATTTCATCTGATGATATCAAACTGCACCCACCACTTTCGCATATTCGATGCTCTAAATCTTTGCATTCTTGAGCAAAGCTGTGTCGGTGTCAGCACATTATGATTGCAGAGTAGGCCCACATTATTGAGGTGCAGATTTTGTCGTTTACGACTTATTTATTTAGGTTGCCCTGGTTGAACCTCACAAGAATGATGTATGAACGATAGACAAGTCTCCATGATCTGCAGAAGTGCTCTGAAATTTTTGCGTCAATATCCTCCTACATCCACATATAATTCTGGAAAGGACGTGAGTAATATGGTCATTCTAAGTCATTGTTTTTAGAAGTGGTTTAGGAGCTGTAGACTTAAGGGCTGACCATATGACAAACATATCTCAGCCACGTTTTCGGTTCAATACATTAGTAGTTCGGTAAGATCTTTTGTGTACAGTTTTTTCCTGCAGTCAGACTACAGAAATTGAAGGACGCGGCGAAAACAGGCAGATTTATTCTGTTCTGACTCGCAAAACCGCGTGCTCCAGCAGGTGAATAAGTGATAAAATAGAAGCGTTGCATGGATGTACGTCAAATAATCAGTGTAAGTCTCTTCTCATTCGACTCTTCTGACCCTGAAAAGAGACAAAAACTTTGTTTTGACAATTCATCACAGTGCTGCTGACTGTCGTAATGGTAAATTTATGAGGAGAATATATCAGGTCCTATTGAATGGCATGATAAATAAGCCCACAAGATTCAACCTGATTTGCCGAAACGCTTGTAAAAAACTAACGGCCGATAAGCATTGCCTATGCGAAACGTATAGCTCCTCAGAGCAATTAACTCACTTTAAGGTCATGCCAGAGATTGATCTTTGAGGCAGCACCGAAGGAAACCCATTAGGGAGATTTCGATGCTCGTTTACTAGCCTGAGGGCTAGTAGTTGGTACATTCTTGCGAGCTCGTGCTTGAATAAAAATCAGATATATTAATTTAGAGTATTAATACATGTACCACTATTATCTCTCCAAAAAAATTGGCTTGGAAGGTTCAAGCTATTGTTTTTGGCCACGAGACGACCTCACACTTGACACAAGTCCATAAAAATTCACTGTCACGAAGGCATTGAGATTCGGAAAGTTTATTTGATGGAGCATTAGAATACAGAAAAAAACGGCCAATCCTGCATTTTCCTCCATTCTCCGGCTGGCGCTAATTTAAGAACGTCAGATGCTATTTTTAGCCGCGTGGGCGAAACACTGGTGCCGTGATGATCGTTAAGTGCAATGACCATCCTAGTAACACCGAAATTTCGGCACATGTCCACTGGGCTTCCAGTCATAAACTTTTAGCCTTTAGCTTTAAATCGTTACGGCAAAGAATTTCGTGACAATCACTTGGTGCTTGTTTCGGTGAATTTTATTAATGCTCAGCGTTCCTCCACTCCTTTTAAGGGCGTACTTGGCTTGTCGTTTGCCCGTATATCACATTGTGTCACAACAGTAACGCACCATCATGTCCAACTAGATCACCAACTTTGCCCCAACTTCATTTTCTCTCAGCCTTCAGGTCCTGCTGTACTTTAATTGTCTCTAATTAAGTGTTTGATCAAGTATTTAAACTATTTATGAATAAAAATTGTAGTCAGCCAAGTTAAATATCGGCGAGAAAAGGCCGGCTTACATTTAGTTAAAGTCCGTGCTCTATAAGTACTAAGTTTTCGTTGACTTTATCAAATGTTGTTGATCAGTGGCATTTTCACGACGGTTCGTCTGGATGGGTAGTTGTGCGCGTGGGTGCAGCGAAGGCACAGCTAAATCACCAATCACTGATTGAGTGACGTCACGATCTCATAACCGGTTGATGATTTGTGTGTAGCCCGAGCCAATCGTAGTGCCGTGGTGGATTATAAAGCGGACAACCTTGGGTTGACTTGCCACCACGCCTCCTTCGCAATGACTCTGGTGTCCTGCTCAAGCATTTTTGACGCCACATGTGACGTTGTTGTGTTCGTCAACGATGCAATTCGAAATCTTGGCGATTCATTGATTTCTATTGAAAAAGCCATCGCGGACTTCGAGAAGGTACGATGGTTAATGAAAAATATGATCAACAAAATAACTGATTTTAACTTAAGGGATTTGCTTCGTTCATTTTAGATTAATCCCCGAATCTCCGAGTCCTTAGAACTTTTTGCTTTTCCTGATCATCCCTGCAAAAGACTAGTGAGACGATTTAATTAATGGTTGACTTTAGATTTCTTCCTTACTTATTAACCGAAATTTATTATAAACTGGTTTTAATATATTTTTATAATAGGTTTGGTGCCTCTGGTTCTAGCCTCGAATTTCGTAACATGTATAAGTTATTTGGATAACACGCACTAAGTGAAATGCAAATGAAGAGCAGGAAAAACTTGCTTCCCTTTTGATGGTTGTTGACCCCAATAAGTGAACAATAAAAAGTGGTCATTTTAACTGTACTTTATTTTTGTCAACACATTAGCCTATCCGGCTGCCAAATTTGCATGCCACGGGAGTTCGCTCAACCAATCACAGCTGCGGTTAAGGGGTTTTGGGTGCTCAAGTTCCACTAGACTTTCATTTTCAAATGCAAGTGACAATATGCTGACGGTGAGCTCTTTAACCAGTGCACAGATATTTTAGGTTGTCTTGTGGGAAAGACAGGACAGTTTACTGGTTATTCATTTGAACATTTAGAACTCGGAAACCAGTAATTATTTCTCCTCAAAATACCTTGGTATGCGGATTAAAGGATTGTTGCGCGAATATGCATATTGATGTAGGATGATCATCGCAGCGGCTGCATGGTTCACCCTAAAACGAGATAATTAATTGATTTTTATGAAGACAGTACCCTCACAATGGCTATTTTTTATGTAAACAGGACTAATAGAACACAAACTCCTCATTTAAATAAGTAGACTTTTTTAATCAGGCTCATATTTCTGGTGATGGTTCACCGATTGCATTAAACCGAAAACTACTTATTGACCTGCAGTCTCAATTAGGTACGAAGGTCATTTTGTGTCTCTCAGTACGTTTTCTTCTCTAGATTTTCTCTCCAACCGGCAAACTTAATGGAGATACAGATGACAGCCGAAACATCTCCGACGCGGCTTTCAATGGTCTCAAAAAGTACGTCAGAATTGAATAATCTATTTTCATTGATCAGTTGCTTTCGGTTAGGATTCAGAACATAACTGTGAATGTAAGTTTCAGGGACTGCTCTGTGCACGATGTATAAAACAATGCGAAGAATCGGCACTAACATCAACTTCCTAAAAAGGCATGCTCGTAGTCTAATGAATAGGAGGACTGAGAAATCCTGCCGGTGCTTTTATGATCTTGCCCGTGCATCCCGGATACTGAGTTTCGGTATTTCCGCATATGTAGACTCCTCTGATCTGACATTACGTACCCTTTACTGGCGATGACGTGCGGCCGGAGTTGTGATCATAACCACCTTCAGTACCTCATGTGCAAGTGTTATCAAACATTGACGAAAGTCAGCATTAATATGATTGCTAACCACGATTCCAAAATTTTTTTTTCAATTTGCTGTGCATGACAAGGGCTGAAATTGGCCTCAAATGTAGTTTCGGGGTCACGGTAGTGTGCTTTTTTTTAGGGTTGTTTCAATTGGATGTCGTAAACCTTTACTTGTGCTTGGGCCCCTAACTTCTGCACCAACGGATGCTGTGTGGACGCAGGATGACTTTCCTCTTCTGAACGCCATACTTGGGTCTCTTCATTGTTTATACAATGTACGTTTTTTGTTTAAATCAGAAAAAAAATAACTAATGTGGTAAAAACGCCTACATGGTAAACCTCAGGTGCCCATTTTGAGGGAGCGTAAGGTAAGCCACCTACAGGACATCTCGTAGTATACTTCAGGTACAAATCATCAATAAAGATTGATACAGAAAGATACCCTGGAAGTTACCGGACTGTGCAATTGATAAACCAGTCCAGTAAATTGTGATTTGAAGTTAGCAAGAAGAGTGAAAGCCCATACAAGCAAGGGGAGATAAGAATGACTTGATTGATATTTGGAAGATTATTTGCCTGCCGTGTTTATAACTTAAAAGGGTATACTGGTGTTGGCACAACGCTGGCCAAGTGGGTTTCTATCGTGTCGTCTGTCGGACAGCCTGACAGATATTGTGCACTGGAATTTAAGTGGTAGCTAAGCCAGGCATACCTCCAGGCTAGAAAGATGTTACCCGGACCTGGGAAATCACACAAGGAAGCCGTTGGCTATTTGTAAGTAGGAAATCATCTCAACCGGCAACAAAACTTCTGCGATCATACTGTCATCACGCCGAAAAATATCAACGCAAAGAAATGCTTCCATGGTTTTGGTCCAGCTCGTGGCTGCCTGTTTTCACTTGCACAACCAAAAGTTGTCCTTTGAAGTACAGCCTTTTATAAAGTTAATCTGAGCAACTAAGGCGGATAAAGTACATTAGTCGTTGGGAGCGTGTACAATCAAAGATCTTGGTCTTAAGAATGAAAAGCATTATTTGGAATCAGGTAGAAAAGGAAATGTGGTTTTACTAAAAAAGTGCTTATTGTATGGTGGGAAATGACAGATGGCCTTAAATATTGGTTTGATGAACCATGGTCCAATTAAACCTTCTCTTTAAATAGCCTCTTGAGTTGCGTGAGGCCTTTCCAGAGAAACCAAGCAAGTTCGACCTTCTTAGTGTCTTTGGAGCTTCGGAGAAGTTGCTAAATATTGCCTACGCAATTGAAGAGGGGCGGCGCGTTTCTCGCGATATTGCTGCTTCTGATCCAGAGCGGATGGCTGCTCCCCGTATCGTCGAATACATCTATGAGGAACTGGGAAAATCTGCGGAAGTCAGTCTGACGGTCACGGAGGTCGGGAGTGAAGCATACCCCCTAATGGCTGCCGTAAACAGAGCTGCCTCAGGTAAGTGGGGTACACAAGTATGCAAGAGCGGTGGATACCGGAATAGACTGCTGCACACCAGCATCTGTTTGTTGGGTCGTCCCTCGGACACCATGCAAATTAAATTTTCCTAGGGATGCTTAGTCACATGAATCATTGTGTAGCTCGTTTGTCGGAGCCTCGGCTGAGATGAGCTTCAAAGTAAGCAAGGTTATGAGAAGCGCTTACCTTGTGTTGGCAACTATTAAACGGAGCTGTTGGTGGTGGTGGCGGCGATGTTGTGAGTGTCTCTCACCTGTTTAGCAGCCCACAGTGTAAATAATAGAACCAAATAAATTCATGAACTTTTGGTCGTCGTGATGTGGCCCTAAATTAGACAAAAAGTCCCTACCAGGCACCGTAGGTATATGAGCTTGCAAAAGAAGATCTGTAAAAAAAGCCTATTAATACTTTTTAATTTAATAAAGAAATCACTTTACAATAAGTAAGATCAATGTTGGTGTGATTATCTGAAACCAAGTGACTTCACATCTATCCCCATCCAGGTATTACGCGCCACAATGGAAAGGTTGTGCATATGGTGTATGAGGGCAGCTCACACGTAGACACGAGCCTGTATCTCGTCGGCAAGGGAATCACTTTCGATACTGGTGGTTGTGACGTCAAAGCCGGGGGTGTCATGGCAGGCATGCATCGGGACAAGAGTGGTGCTGCTGCGATTGCCGGTTTCTTCAAGACTCTGAGTTTGCTCAAGCCAACTGGCCTCCGTGTCTGTGGCTCACTTGCCCTTGTTCGCAACAGCATTGGCTCAAACGGCTACGTTGCTGACGAAATCATCACTTCTCGTGCTGGCAGACGTATCCGCATAGGTAATACCGATGCGGAGGGACGAATGGTCATGTCAGATCTACTATGTGAGGCAAAGGAACAGGCAAGACCACCTTAAATACCCTTAGATCCCCTAATTCTTGTTTAACATTTGACAAATATTTGAAAAACTACTTTATCCGCATATGAGGTTGTGCCAAGATAAGCTTCAAGCATGCCTGAGATTGCAGGGTATTTTGGGTTTATTTTGACAGTAGAAATCTTCTTCTTGATCCAGCTTTAATGCTTAGGCGGCGTTAAGTTGCGAGGAGCTGGCGAGACTTTGGCGGTGGGCCATGGAATGTGGAGTGTGAGCCACATTTTGGCTGCCTGCATCGGCAGGTTTTCTAGCTACATTGAATAAAGCTTACTTAATGGAAAATCATACTGATGAACTTGGCTAATAATAGTCTGCACTGTGCGTAACGTTGGTTAGAAATGCTAACAGCATATGCAATGCAGTATAAAGTCTGCGCCTGTGAGTAGCAGCGTTAGATCTCGACGCTGCTATTTTGAAGCTGCAAAGTAACCACCATAATCATGGGAGCATTAAAGTATCCGCTGAGTTTTCGGCATTCATGATGATGCCGCTTTGTGGAGCATATTTAGTCACGTAAATAGGCACTGTACCGCTGTAGCACACTGGCGCAGCCCGTTATTGACCTCAAATTCAAACTAGCTAAGACCAACACAAGATCCCGAACTCGTATTCCTCAACACAATAAGGCAGGTTGTGAGGTAAGCGTGAGTTGCATGATTCCTCGCACAAGGGCATGCTCTAATCCCTTATTAGAAGAATTGATGGATTAATTACAAAATCCAAAGCAGACTCAAACGACAACTTTAAACGTCTGGGATGTTGGTACCATCTCTTGACCAGTGATATATTATTGCGCTCAATTTTTTACTTACGATGTATGAACAGTTGTGATGTTTTTGGTCGTTTAGCTGTACTTATTTTCCTTTATTAATTAAGTTTGTTTCTTTAACAGTCACGCCTTCTAGTTGGTTGTTTCCTCAAATCTCCGTTACCTCCTAAACTTGATTGATTGAGTAATAATACGTAGCTTATTGATTTGACGTGTACCGTCCATAGAGTACCCATCTACTTCTTTGCCCTAAATATGAAACCTTCTTTGCTTGTCTCCCAAATAACAGGACCCAGTTATGTGTATGTATTCTGGTAAAAGAAAGGACAATTATATCAGACTATATGATGCTTTCATTTCCGCTTTCCGGCTGCTCAAATTCCAAAGCACGTTGCGAGCAAATTCCCACACTCGTGTTTCTATAACCATTATCTTTTTTATTACTAGAATTAAACTCAATGATTTCTACTACATAATGTTAAATTGTCGAACACTGTTAACATTGTAGGCTTTGAATGACGTCAATCCGTTTATCTTCACCGTTGCTACCCTGACCGGCCATGTGGTCTCTTCTTACAAATGCTACACTGTAAGAGTCATCGCCGGAATTGGCTTATGTGCATATTAAATTGAAGAGTGAAAGTGCAATTTCCCCTTTAGGCTGTCATGGATAATGGTCCTGCACGAAAACAAGGCGTAGCGAAGAATCTGCAGAGAGCGGGTGAACGCGTTTCCGACATGACTGAGGTACATTTGCCAAAAAAATTAGTTTGATTACTTTTAATGTAAAAGTAACATTAGTAATGTTGAAGTTTTCTTAAACAGATTTCTACCGTCCGGAGAGAGGACTTTGAATTCGTAAGGGGTCGCACAGAATATGAGGACCTCCTTCAATGCAACAATAAACCAAGTAGCCTGACACCTCGTGGACATCAGTTCCCTGCGGCTTTTATGATTGTCGCCAGTGGTCTGGATGAAGTGAGAACATTTGAAATCATTATAACATTTGATCTTTTTTGAAATTCTAACGATTTTAAACGTTTGGGTATTTAAAAGCATTAATGTTAGATGAATCATTTGACGCTGGCACCAAAGTACTTACGAATGCTACCTGGATTACGTGAAACACATGAAGACATGTTTTGGTCATACAGGTTGTCTTCTTTTTGCGGGAGAGTAAGTGGCAAAAGAAATATTTGTTACCATAGACAATCTATTCCTGGTCTTGGGATGATTAAGAAATAAACATCCCCGAAAATAGTAGCCAATACAAACTCACAAGCTTATGTGGTCATTCCTTTGGTTAGTAGTGTTTTCTAGGGAACATCTAATAGTAAATTTGAACACGTAAAGCAAGGATTAAAAATCACGTCCATAGTTTTACAAGGTTCACCATATCAGTAGTGATTATAGAAGAAGACTTGGGTTTTCCGCGCCTGCCCTTTAGGCTCCTGCTTAGGGAAAGCCTCTCTACTAGTAGCTGAGCTCACAAAATCCCTAACTTGCTGAAAGCTTCATGGTCTAGTTGGGCCGCTACCTGTGACAAGTCAAATTAGGCAAGGAATTCGAGAAAACCGCGCAACCGTTGAAACAGCCATTTGTGTTTATTGGATTTTGCTACTTGCACACATTGAGCTTCCTCGTTAAGCCGTTTTTCATTTGGGTCACTTTTTCTTTCATACTTAGTACGGATTGGGCTGTGAAAAACAGTTGCCGTACACCCATATCGACATCGCAGGAGGTGCTGGTTTAATTGACACCCTCTCGACTGGCAGCCCCCTCATGATGTTTACCAGCATGTACGTCCTTCCTCGACTCTGAGGTGCCTCCTTCTGTCCTCCGTGCTTAAGAAGTTTCTAATCACTCTTGGCTTCTCTCACACAATTCTAGTAATCCCACCGATAGTTCCCTTACACTTTTCAATTCAGGCCTGATTCCTTCCGAAGTGCTGTCCTGCAACCGAAAATTAAGAAAGGAATGTAGAATTTATTGATTGATTGTTTTGTGGTCAAATACCCATCCAGCTTAATGTGACGAGTCTTTTTTAAGTCGTACATTAATTTCAGGTGAAAGGTGCTGGCTTCTGTATGGGCTGGTTTGAATGGCCACCATGTGTGGTGAGTCGGCTATAGTATTTGCGCTAGTGATGCTTAAGTCGAAGGTTAAATCTATAGGTTCTCACGGGACTGATTTCAGGCCATTGCATAGGCACAATGTACTTCCAAATAAAATCACGAGAGCAGTGAGAAAGCTCCATCGCCAGAGTAACTCAAAATAACAGCTAAAAATATACTAAGCAGTGAATTTAGCTTAATAATAACGTTTTTAGATTCATCAAGTTACAGTGTAAAAAGAAATTATTTATAGCACTTTAACCACTTTTTACTGCTTAGTCAAAGTTATGTAAATTGCGCGCGGCCTTAGTAGCCAACCATTATTAAGAACCCAAGATCTATCGATTTAAAGTCGTCTGAATCGTGCCATTCAGCGGAGGAACTATTTTTCCCACCATTAAATCACTTTTAATTTCCCTCATTCCCATTAATTCCAACTTAATGGAAACTGAATTTTGTTTGATCTTGCCAATATATATTTCTACCTATGCCATTCATCTGTTGTGGTGTTGCATTGAAGTAGCGTTTAGCCGTGAACATGGGATCAAATTAATTCCTGGCCGTACTACTGGAAACAATGTCTTGTCAATCACTGCCCAATTAATTATTAACTGCCAAAGTTCGTATGCATCGTAGGGTCGGTGAATTTATGTGGCACCAAAGGTGAAAAATAGATGTGCATAATTATACGGGAATAATTTATACAATAAAGATAGACTTTTTGATGTGTTGGGCGGAAGTGAAAATAAGCCAGCACAGGACTCCCAAGGGTGCTTATCATGAGATCGTGGGGCTATGCAAACGTTGGGCGACTCAGTTCCCGGCATTGGATAGAAGGCTGTAGAGGTGTTCGTCGTTGATGCACCCACGAATGAATTCTTCTTTTGAAAGGACATGATCTGAGTTGAGGTCCATTTTCTTAAAAATTGCATGAGTCCTCACTTCAGAAGTATTCTGGGGGCTTGGATTGGTCTCACCCACCATGAGGTAAATGGCCTAGTTGTAAATACGAATACCGGGTCAGTGCAGACTGATGCCCGTTCATTCAAGTACTTTGGCTATCAAAGACATCCTGTTTTAAAAAGCGTAGAATGCAGGCTCATCAAGTTGACACTTTTTAACACACCGTTTTAAGGAATCAAAATTTTTATATAATATTACCATAACAGTTGACCGCGGTGACAATCCACAGTGACGTCCAGCGTTTCAAATTCTGATTAGGTAACTTGTTACGTATCTCAGATTATAGACTCGCTACTTTGTGATGACTCTTGCCAAATCATGGCCGTCATCACCGTTCACGCATGAGAGGTTAACATGATTTCTCATTCCTCGGATTCTCTGTTGAGTCATTTGACCCTGTTCCTGGTATTCACGCTATGAACCGTCTCGCCATGTGCCGATGTGACCAACCCCCAGGAATCCCACCGACCATTCAGGTAAAAACACATCTATACCACAGGTTTCGGCTGTTTGTGATCATGACCTATTAATATGCGTGACCACCCGTGACTCAGCACACACAGACTCAATGGTCGCTGTCTGCCTTCTCTGGGTACTTGGCGTCGGATCGGGACGCAGCAGCAACAAGTCTCTCATTTAACAACCCTAAGACACGTGTAACATTAGTGAATCAGAACTGCAACTAATTCTTCGCGATGGATGAAGCAAAATTGTGCTTAAACGCTTGCTTAGAAGAGAACTAGGCAAATTTTTATCCTCGTCCAAGGTGCTATATTAGTACCTATTGATAATGGCCTGACGACACGTTTTGGTAGTTTACAGCAATGTAAAGTCCCTTTGTGCCTAGAACCACAGGAAACAACGTAACCTAGTTGACCGTGCAGATGTGATGAGATTTACGCGGTAGCTATCGATCATGCGCCAAGCATTGATGACGAACGGTAGCACGCATGCTTGAGGTCACAGGTATCATTAGCCGACCCAGAACTAATGCGTGTTCGCCGTTCCTTCGTGTGTCCTAATCGCGAGACCCTCCACACGAAAAGTGGCAGTAGCTGCATGTCGGTTAACAGCACGTGACAAATACTTTCATTTACCATCTCGTCAGGACACTGCTAATATTTAATAGCATGTTCCTGATGAAATGCTATTGCTGACAAACTTCTGAGATACTTTCATTGGAATGGCAATTATCCATGACGTCTCTTTGCAGCTTATATTAAAGCGGTACTGTACCATTTGTAGGTCTTTCAGCAAAACCACTTAAGTGGTCTCTAGATCACTTGGGTTTTTTAATGGTTTAACTAGTTTCAAGCCGATTAACATCAGCCGGTTTGCTCATTTTGAGGAATGTTGGCGTCGATTAAACGATGGCAATGAAGCATTACACTAACACTATTGCGCAGTATTCGCTCTGGTCATCTCCACTGTGTCGGCAATACAGGTCTTTATGTAGCTGCTTTTTACTAAGCTTTTCAAAGTTGTTTAAGTTTAGCCAGCGATATTTTCAAAGATGACAATTGTAAGATTTGGAGCCGATAATATCGTGAACCGTTACAGCAGCAGACATTAAGATACAATCAAGTGTTGCGGGATTTGCCCAACTACCGTCGTGTCATGTATGATGATCCCGGAGAGAAAAAAGGCGGTGGTGCAGACAACACTCATTTCACAGCATCTATCTGCAGCTAAAAATGATTATACGCAATTGGTCAAGTTTAATCAAAACTTCAATAGGGCATTGATATCTATACGCGAGTTTAATTTGACATGGAATCAAAGTATATTGCAGATAAATATTGCAAAGGAGCTCAAACGAGTGTTGAAACCCTTATTCGATGAAAGCCTAGTTTACTTTGATTTTCATTTGCAGCAAAGTATCTTTAGTTTTAGCCATGTGAAATTACTGAAACATAAACCTTGATAATAAATATTCCCTATTGACAAAATTTGCACGCGTCTGTGTCAATGAGGCATCTCGGAGGCATAAATGTCCTCAGAGCATAGACTAATATCTAAAACTAGAACAATTCAGCCAAATCAAACCTTTTATTTAAGGGTCACAATTACTATTCTTCCCGATGTTGCTACAGTTAGTGCCAACTCAGCTGACGAAAAATGCAATCCGAGTGGTGTACCACCACTAACCCATGTGAGAGGGTCGTGTCATAAAGCTTGATAATCCTGCTTTTTTAATTAGAATGAAAATATTTGGGTAATCTTCTACGTACTTGAAAAAACAATTGCTCTGTTTGTGGAGAATTTAAGGGGTATGATTGATCTCAGAAAATGGCAAGGCTTCAAACTCGTCGTCCTATGGGTAGTCGGTTATGCTATGCACACAAAAACATCCTTCAGCTGATTGTAAGTTTTAAACGATAGGCATCACTATACCTTGATTATTTCATTCATCTCAGACTCTTCAATGCACCCGTTCCCATCGATATCGTAGAGTTGGAAGGCAAGACTCAGCTTTTCCTCAGGACTACCGCTCTGGGTTATGCTGATAGCCTACAAGGTGGCAAATTGAAAACGTGCTTAACGTCCGAGGAGCCTTCAATGTAGACTCACAAGTAATCGGCGTATATTTACGCGATGCCTGAGGATTTTGTTTGACCTAAGGCCTGACCTGGCAAGTCGGGCAGCCAAATTGGCGTTCTGCCTCCAAGACAGTCAAGCCGACGGATGAGACGGCGTTTGGGGTTGTTAACGTGTGTAATCGCTGTCAAATCCAGGGGCGTGTGGGTGAATCAATCATGCATGGGATGGAGTAAAGGGGACTGTTATGGTTGCGGCTAGACAGACACAAGAGTGAACTGAGCACGGGAGAGTCTGACTTAATCTACGAAAACACCAATCGTGTAGTGTTGATAGGTTGCTATTACTTCACTGATGGCCCTTTAATTCAGCTCGGCTCCTGAATGCACTTTTCGGGGGGCGGTGATGCTGACAGTAGCAAGTTGAAGTGGCGGCCTCTCTCGCGTCATAGTGTGTGCATGGGACAAATGTTGAAAGGCGAGACTGTGCGGGGTAATTGAGGCTGTGTGGGTGAGGGTGTATTCAAACAACCGTGCAAGCGGTAAAAGCAATTACAACAGTGACTGAAGGTAGGTAGCTTTCCAGGCATCGAGTTTAATTAACCCCTAAGTTGAAAAGAAAACAGCCGAAACACTAGTTATGTGTGGGGATTCGGTTTTCTTGTGTGTACCTGTCAAAACAAAATCACTAAATTTCTAATTCGCACCAAATCGACATTCTGCGTCTTGCACTTTTGAACTCTCTTGACTGAAATCTTAGGGAGAGTTGTTTAAATGTAAAAAAAAGTTGTGTTAGATTCGGAAGGAAGAATACATATGGAACTTCAATTCTAAAGGTGTCTGCGCGTAGTACACGATTTCCACCACGTACGTCCTTTGAATTATGTGAAGGACCCATATCCGAGAAACGCCGATTTTCGGGAGACGTCATTTCTCGCACACGTTTCAAAACTATTTTTTAGCTGTTACGAAAGCTGAATCGCTGGGGCAGCCACTTTAAAACTTAAATGACCATCACGATTCACGTCCATCAACTCTGATGCGGCACACTCAGACACAAAACCCACCGTTTCTCGGTGTCCTCATTGTTCATGTGGGCACGTTTGTTCAGGCGCCCTGTGCATATAAACCTTCCTGTCACTCTGTGACTTCCAAGTATAAACAGCACTGTGCACGACAGAAAAAACATGGTTAAACCACCTAATAAACGGATTTCTCCATCAACCCTGGTGCTCTTAATCTTCCCAAGTATCTGTATATTTTATTTGGGACCACGAAAGTGAGCGGCCCCAAAGTAATTCGAACCCATACCGGGGTCTTTACATTGCAATTCAGCTACCTGTTGAGAATAAAAAAGCGGTACACGAATGCATATTTGATTCAAACAGCTTTTTAATGATTTATCATTATGTCCCTGGATTTAAGCCCAGCAGTGTAGTAAGTAGTCCTCCAGAAACAAAGAGTATTACTAACCGATTGTAAAGCGAACACGGAACATTCGAAATTTTGCCTGGTTAACGGGAATAACCATTAGATGGTCGAAACTTGCTTAAAATATAACTTATACATTTAAAATAGAACAAATTCCAGCTTAGTATCACTATAACAACCTCACTTAATCTTTATGGCCTGTCACAGAAAAAAGGTATATATGATATCTTTTCGCCGGCTTACACTCAGTCCCAAACACGTTAATAATATCATCGGTCTTCTATTTCTTAGATGATGATTCTGGACGAAAAAAAGAAGAGGGTTTCAACTTATTTACTGACTGTTCAGTTACTTTATAGCCATTTTTTAGAAATGGCCAGACCCCAACAGTTATCAAGGTATTTGACGTTAAGTGATTCAACGTGCGAAGACAAGTTGGGATTAGGGACGACGTTATTCACAGCCAATATTCCTGGCCAAATATAACCAAGATGTCGTATCTAAATCAAGGAAGTTCGAGCTGAACTCCAGTAGTGGCGGTAACGTTAATTATCGGTGTGAACCGAGAACTTTTGATTCTAAGGCAACAGAAAGGGAGGAAGTCTTGGCAAAAGCTATTTTGCCGGCAGTAAGACGTCGTGTTCTTTGAGTTGTCTACAAGGAGGCTGATCAGCAAGAAGTCGACTTGGGCTATTTAGACTTACAACGAGGTAAATGTTATAGAGAACCGTGATCGTTTAGGTGCATAAGATTGCTCGTGAATCCCCGGTTCTGAAACACGGAATTTGCACTTTGACCGGTAAATTGTTAATCCGGATTTCTTCGGAGTTTAAATTGTGCCAAGGTAATCTTTGTGTTTCTAGCAACCCCTTCCAGCTATGAGTGCACCGTCAGAGACCCTGTCGACATCAGCCAGTAAATGATTGGCATGAATCTGCATCTCGGAAGCCAAGAAACAGCCGCGCTAATTAGAACGCCCTAAATCTGTTGTATGGGCTCATTTATGTCTCTTGGTTCTCTTCTTATCTGATAATATGCCCGAACGATAAACAGATTGAAAAATTTGGGTTTCTTATGTGGATTACTGGAAAAATTATACACACTTGAGGTAGGATAACGGTAGGCCATTGCAGCTGTAACATTGATTATTTTTCGGACACTGATCACACTCTGGTTTCTCGGGATTCACATGAAAAGAAAACGACCAGCTTCTGCTGAATCAACGACAGTTACTGCTGCACAATACTCAACTAGTGATATTCGAAGGACGTGTGCTGCCTGTTGTGTGCAACGTTATGCCAGGCCTATGCATTATATCGCACGTTATCGATTTTGTGTTATCCAGATCACTGTATTTATCTAGAACAACCATTTCCTGGTAGCCGTCAGCCTGTAAAATGGCGTTTGAGTGGAGGCACTCACTGCAAAGGGTTCCTTCAGGCCCAATTGAATCCATCCAAGTGAGAGCATCAGATGGTTCTTTTGACGGCGAAGTCTTAGTGTTTTAATTGAAACATATTCCTCGTCCTTATAACCACGTTTGAAAGCACAAGTCCATGCAGATTGAAGTCTTAAACATTGTGATGAATTCTGACAATTCACGAACGCAACCCGAGTTTACACGACCGGTTTTCATGTTTATTTACCCCTACGGACCCCACACTGAGTCAGCTGGCTCTATCGTTGTGTCCATCTCTGATGAACACGGATATTTATCTTAAATTACCCCTGCTTGCAGAAGTGACCCTCCCTAATTCACAATGATAGCCCACCGATGGCATACGCGCCCTTCTTTTTGCGACCTATAAATATGCCTGAATAGTCGCGGCGCCGAATACACACCCACACGCACACACTGATTCAGAGGCCTTGTAAACGGTTGAGTCTCCGTCACCATTCGTCCTTTCAGAGTACGTGGTGTCGCATCATGCCCCAGTTTCGGTAATAATTTAGTTGTCCCGATGTGGGGGGGAGACAAATAGAGCATCGGATACCGGCACAACGTCCATACATTTATTTGCCTCACACTTCCTAATATGGGATAAGAGACATTAAAATTATCACCTTCCTGGGGTTTTTGTAATGATCCGAACCAAATGTTAAGTTGAAGGAACTGTCCTATCTAAGCTTGTGCGTCACGACACAAAGTAACTGTTAAGAAACAGTAAATAAGTAAATTGCCATAAATTATTGATGGCAGTTTAGAAACGTTATGGACGCATCCTATGAAATAGACTGAAAAGGTCAAAATTCACATAAATTGATTCCGACACTACATTGATTCAACTCGGTTAAAAGTGCAGCATGGTCCGGATTTCGGTAGTAAAAACCGGCATTTTTTATACCTACGGAACTGAACAGGAAGCAGCCGGTTGAATGAAATGAATTTAAAATGGATCGTATGCAAAAAATGGAAATCAAACTAGTGAAAATCTACGTGCCAACGGAATATTTATCTGTCAAATTATCTACAATGAGCTTCGTTTGGTTTACTACCGAGATATTAAGGAGAGTGAAAAAATAATCGAGATCAAATTATATTTATGCATTAAAATCTTAGCTACACAGGAGCCCAATAATTATTTTTTGCTGAAATAAGTTTGCCGAAACAGGCAACATTCTTGGAAATGACTTAAGCGTTTCCTACTGGTTTAATAAAATTCTCTACTCTGAAACTTGTGAATTATTTAGTTCGGTAAAAATTTAAATTGTTTCATTTACAATAGATTGCAGAAGGTAAGAGACAGGAGGTGGGACATATCCGACTGCTAAAGCTTTGGAACTACTTATATTCAGTCACTTCCTAGGAATGAATCAGTGAAATTTTAAAAACTAACGCTACATGATGACATTTAAGTGGAACTTGGGTGATTTCATTCGATTCTCCTTTTCCTTAAACAACAATGTAATTTTGTTCGACCACATGATATTTTCATAGATAAATGTAGCTTAATTAAATAGACGCTCGGGATTTTTATTTATCAGTGAATTTTGTACAGGGCTGTAGATTTGCTAAACCATCTGGCTTGAAACCTTAGTTTCGACGAAAGTGGAGTCTACTCACGAACTAAAATGTTAAGAGCCATAGTTTTAAGTCCATGTTAGTGATACAATAATTTGCAAACAAAAGGTGTTTTCTTACAGAAAGGAACTCCGAAAAGTCAATGTGGCCACTGTTGTCCTGATCAAAGGTGCGAAAGAGGTGAGCGTAGAAATCTTTGGCTTTCCCATCGGGAAAAAAGTGTGTGTACATATCCAAAAAAGCGTGACGATTCAATTGGCCGGATGGACAGTCCTTCTACAAAGGCAAATTTTTGTATTAGAAATTCTATCAAGCCATGTCTACTAAGGATTCAGGTGTGCATCTTAAACCAGTACTTTGGCTTGTCAAGAGTTTGACGTTACCTAAACCAAAGTGACACTGGCGGCACACTCCTTGAATATGTACATCAAGAAGTAGTTACCTAAAAATGTTTACAATAATGCAATGAGCAATCTTAAAAAACATGACGCCACTGCTTTTGCATGATCATTCTAGCAAAAACACGATATCTGAAGCTTACTAAGTGAATTTAATTCGTTAATACTCTGAACAAGACATTTTTGTCCAAATAGAATTCGAGTAGAGAGAAACGACTGTTTAATCAAAGTAAAGTCGCTTGTTACAATCTTAACTCGTCGTCTTTGAGCGAGGATGACGATATGACGCTGACATTTCGAAGTAAAATTAAACTGATTTTTTAGAATTTGGTTTATTAATTTGACTTTTCCGACGGTTTTGTTCAATTTTCACTTTCCAATCAAGCTAAGCTGAAGAATAAAAAAATCCGATAGAATGCAAATCAATTGATGTCTGGCACTTTTCAGTCGGTCTTGGCGGTTAACTGTAGCCACGGTCACGGGAAGAAGAACGCTAGGCAGATTATGAAGTTTGATAGAAGCGGATATAGTTAGAAGCGCTTAGTATAATTTAAAATGAAGAAGTTAAGGTTTTAATTGGTGAACTATGCTTTAATAATGAGACGCAACATCGAAGGTGTCGCCATAGACGATACTCACGAGGAGTCAATTGAGATGCGCCAGTGAATGCAGAACGTATACTTAATGCATAATGACACTCTAAACATTATAAAATGTCCAATACAATGCTTATACGTCCGTATATTTTATTATAATCAGTGAACATGTTTAGAAGGTTGACGGATGGCTTCATAAGTAGTTATCCTACGACCCGTAACAAGAATTCGGTTTCTTTATAACCGTGAATTGCTTTATTATTTTACAATGAATGTAGTAACCGGAACACAGATAAAGTTTAAAATAGCCTGTGGGAAGAGATGTACATTTTGAGAAGGAAACCACTTCAGATGTTTGGATTTGGCTATTTAAATAAAAACGAATTTTCACAGTCGGGCCTCAAAGTCGGACTACTTCATTAAGCCACTTACTGATAGCACTAAAATGTTTAGAATATACTGCGTATGTAGGAATAAGTAAGCATTAAAACGTACCAGGAATATGCTGTGCCATTTTCTAATTTGCTTTTCGGTAAAATGTGTTTTTGATGCAAGAGCCCTAACCTCGGCCCGAGAAAGACGATATTTTCCGTGAATGGCACCCATGGTTGTGTATCATGCAAACAGACGCCGATTTACTTGTTATGAACTGATTTCCTTTTGCGCACTACCAATACTTGTGACGTCTAGGTTGTGCACATAGTGGACGTACGTACGCACCAGGAGGAGAAACCCACGGACACGCGAACCGCGCAAATGGTTGTTACCCAGGTGGACGAATACGCCGCGCATGTGTTGCGAGATCCCACCAATTAGGGATGTACTGACATGGATTTTAAGGCAAAGGATCATACTGCGCGTTAATTGGTTGGTAGGAAACCCGTTTCTGGTGAGTCACAAACAGCGCGAAAGCTGGTTCAAATCTGAAGTTCTTGAAGGCAGATGCAGCAAAAAGGGGCCTGTAATCGATTCGACGCGAAATTCCCTTCAATAAACCTGCGTTAGACAAAAGCAACGCCACCTCACCTTAGGTTCAGTTCACTTCTTTTCTAAATCATCTGATCAAATATGTTTTGAAGACGATGCATATTATCCAAGGTGAATATACGAAGGCTATTTCAAAAAAAACAAAAGCACTAGATTCACAAATGAATTTGATCTATTCTAATGACCTTCTATTCGTCCTAATGAGAATTAAGGAGATAAATTTAGGTTTAATGCAATGTATGCTTTTCATAGAGCCATCTACGCTGCAAGCCTGCTCTAATTTCCTTAGTCATACACACACACACGCCTCTGCGTTACGTGCATAAATTGGTGTTGTACGAGAACTTAAGGGCTCCTATGAGGGCTTCTAGCACCCACTGGTCCCGTAGCTTGATGTAGAAAGACCCACTGCTTCTAGGGAGCCGTGAGATATTTCGACTCACCAACAGTAGGGTTCGGAAACCCAATGGCAATTTATGTTACCCGCTTCGCTAACATCTCGTAGCTTTCGAACTGAAGCTTCGCCTTCTAACCAAATAGTGTGTTCAGTCTCTGATGCCTTAAATGACGGGTCTTGAATTCAAATTCACCTCAAATTCAGTCTGTAAGTTGATTTATCAGCGCCAATTTTGATGCATTGAAAGCAACGAATGGGCATGTATGTAACGAGCCTCTGGGGTGTTTGTATCTGTGTGCGCATAATTTTGTTGCGTATATTTTGCGACGTGAAATAAATTTTGTACTAGTAACGGCTGTTAATTCCTCATGAATTGTACGTCTTCATTCAATTTAGTGGATTCTCCTCGGTGCGTTAAAACATACTGTCAGGTAATCTACCCCTCAACATAACTCGCGGCCTCCGTGCTGCTAATGATTCCATCAACGTTAACGCCTTCCTCACGTTTATTCCTGGATGCAAGCCTTTTACTGGTGGTGCAATGACCCAAGTTGGGTGATCAAGCCATTTAGGAGGATTTCGAACACCTTGATTATTTTGGCCGTGTTGGGAAACGTTGGTCACTCTAATGTCGTTGAGTATTACCAAATAGTTATGTAGCTGGCATTAGCTACTGTAAATATAAGTAGTTTAAAGCGTAGAAGTATATTTTGTTTAGTTACTGCACCACGTAAAATCTGCGATTCGAATTGTAAGCCGATTCATTCGCAATTTAGCACTGAAACAACTGAGAGCCGATCTCGAAGAACTTGGTGAGGCGGAATTCAAAATACTCAGGCACCGAAGTTCTCAAATCGTCTAGGCATTTGAAGGATTACGTCACTATGAGGGGCGCCATTAAATTATACGATGTTCGGATGAGAGGTCAAAAATCACGTCAAATTCCTCTGTTTTACCAAGCACTTTACTCAAGTCGTAATGACCGTTCAGGCTTTTGCAACTTGATGCACACCGACAGCCATTCCCATGCAGTTCTGATTTGGCGGTTGGTTTTAACTGGACACTTGTATTATTGCCGGAGGCTTGTTTGTCGTCTACTCCCATGGTAGATTACGGAAGAACGCTAATTTTGGACTGGAATTTGGCTGACGTCGCCCTCAAACTCCCTAATTCTTTGTTTCGTTCCATTTAAACAAGCCCACGAGAATGACTACCAATAATTACCTGGCAGCAGCTGAACTTCCCAATGCGTTTTATTGCTTTTCGGTGTGGATTCCACTCAATGGTTCATGTCAGTGCGTCGTAATTCAGTTCTCAGGGAAGGGGGCGTTAGTTATGCTACTTGTCTTCTTCCAATTACATTCCAAAAAAAATACTAAACCACCGCGAACGCTGTCACTACTTGATTGCTTCCTCTCTAGCCACATTACACAATTCCGCTCTGACTTCCCTGCCGTCTTTCGCAGTTCAAAGTTGACCGCAGATGTGGACCTCACATTTCCTTTTAGCGGTCTTTTTCACTTGCCACTGGAAACGAGTGAATTAGCCCAGAGTAAGCATACGACGACATTTTCGTTACTAAAACCCTACCATATAGGCACCGACACGCAGTTCACATTGGTATACTAAATAAACTCAATATTACGAAGGTTCATAGTAATGTCATGTTTTTGGGGATGATACCTTTTTTACATTAAATCAGGCAGACTACACACCAACGCTAGTTGGCAGTTATTCTGGTTAAAAGCCGATGTTTATAGCTGTTGTGATTTTAAGTGCAAAGACCATGGAAATACTACACCAAGCAGTAAAATTGGCTAATGTTGCAGACATTTTCACCTTTTGTAATGATAGTGTTTTTTGCGAAACCGAACTTGCGGATGAGTAGCTTGTAATGCTATAAACGATAAAAAAGAAAAGCCTAAAGCGGTTCTATGCTAAAACATTTTCCAGCAGTTTGAGAAGCATTACAAGCGATCCCCAGATCATCAAACACGTAGACATCGAGGGTCTGCTGAGGCCAAACGGAAATTTCACTTTTGTCAGCGCTCTAATTAGCGGTACTTGACTGGCCTACTAAAATATCGCCGGGGTCTGTTGTCTTGTTGCTATGGGATGTACGCTTCCGCCATATTTTAGATCCTGAAACCAGCCGACAAGAAGAAGTTCCACTTCGGCTACATCCCATCAAGTTGGAGTGCATCATGGGCTTCTCGAACAAAAGACAAACCAACTATTTAGACTCCGTGCTGAAGCCTACCTACTTCTGTAACCACTTATCCAAGTACTGTACAGACGATTGCCCACCAGCAAACCCAGCATGTATAGATACTTCTTTACGTGCTCGCCAAAGCATTCCAGTGTAGCCGCCTGCGTGCGCTTGCCTCGCTCCGTCTGTGATATATCAGTTTACGTACATTTAGTGCGCGGCCACTCATCAAACATCTGATTTTCTTATCCGCATTACTTGTGCTTTTTTACCCCAACGATTTTGCACCTCGTCTTCGCTTTGACAAGCACACATTTTTGGCGTCATCGAGTCGAGCTCCTAGACTAACCATTCCGCCCAAACAGCAAAATGGGGAAACCTATTGGTTTCAGTAGTTAGCATCTCAAGGCCACATGGAGAGAACCACTGTCCTGCATCGAAGATTTTCGAGAAAGACATTTTGTAATGTCACCTTTATTTGACTTGTAATTCCTTAATAATGGTGCACCAGTGCCCGCATGTGACCGACAACTGGTTCTGGGACGGTAAAGGTAGGTTAATACGATTGACCCTATCAGAAACCAACAATAAATGAATCGGGTGATTTCTTATTCCAATGCACCTTTAGAGACATTAAACATTCTAGCGTCAGACAGAGCCAATTTAATGTTATTCTGCACATTACCTAAAATTTGGTACCCATCTGCAGCTGTACTTAGCGTCCACTAAATGATTTACTGAAAGAAAGGGAGTAGATGTGGACGGATTTGCGGGAAACAAAACGATTTCTAGCTGCACTTGTTCATCAAGGACTTGAATTCGTTGTCAGTTAACAAGTTCAATCCCAATTGTTCTCACCCACGACCTATGACACCATACTTTCTCGACAACCATTCCCATCAGTACTTTGTAGGATTAAGACATCATCAGTGAACGTTGAACGGGAAGGAGCAGTCCCCTTACGTCTGATTTCGATTTCAGATGTTAGTCAAATTAACGACCTCGTGGATACCGTATGAGTAGTAGGCTACAGTACTCATCTAGCTCCGCCGAGTCAAGCTTGCGGAGGATGAGCTGGACATTCCAAGTATCGTCTTGTGACCAATAATAAGTTTGATAGAGACCATCGTAACAGTAGGACCATGCTATGAAGGCCATACCAGTCCCCGAGACGCGGGTACAACTACCTACAGTGTTAAGAGTGCTGTCAATCAGATGAATAATGCTCGGGACAATTAACGAGGTTACTAAACAATGGTGATGGGTGACCTCCTAAACCAGTATACGTTGTCCTTCAAGAACCTTATGCCACCTTTGCAGAACAATTCATGTCATAGATAACCAGCTGGACGGACGCATGACCAGAGAGCGAATAAGAACATTCCAAAATAGCGTGCACTCCACCTTCCTAGTGCAGAAGACTTAGAGGAGAGCTGTTACTCTTACAGCCATAAGACCGAGTAACGCGTCCAGTATACCCAATTTTGTAATCCCTGGGAGGCCCTCACAGCTACGGAAATAGGCATTACAGTCAAATTGTTAAGTTAAAAGTATGATTTCAAAAAGAGCGCATGAAAACAATTGCAGTTTCTGAGCTGTCGGGTATACACACCGGAAAAAATAATAATAAGACAGTCAAGAACGTTCAAAGACGTATGCGTGTTAACCGCTATTATCAAGTTCTAATGGTACTCCTGACGAAACAAGGAATGTAAAAAAAGTAGTTATGCGGAAATAACATGGCCAATTGTTATAGCCCCGTTAACATTGGGACTTCCGTGAAAGATTGGATGGAGCCGAACAGACAAAATTGGAAACTTTAATTGAAACAAAGGCGGAATTTGAATAATACTGGCCCTCCCAACAACATCCCACGCGGGTTTCCCTACGGCCTGCTGGTGTTTTTCCCCTTGTACTACGAAAATTTTTTACATAGAAGTCAGTTCGAATTTAGAGAGATATGAACGCACTACTTACCAGGAACTCACAATACGTACTTAGATAAGCAGATAATTAACTAGGGGAGTGGCAGTACTCGGCACTGGTCTAAATATGCACAAGATACAATGGAAAGAGAATTAAGAAGATAGTTTTAGAATATTCTTTATATTGTTACTAACCATTCGCCGAATGAAAAGCACAACCAATAGACCAAACTAGTGGTGATGAAATGAAGTACTCTTGGCGCTTCCCAAACGTTTTCAAAACACACAAGCACGATACATTTTTGTGAACAACTGAGTTGTTAAACCGATGCTACAATGCAAGTGAAGCATTGTGTGCCGACCCGCGCCATATTGAAAGCCTTACAAACACACTGAAGGTCACGAAACGTTTTGTTGCTAGAGAATAGGCTGGACCAAAGCTCTTTGCCACAGAGTAACCTCTGGAGGCATGCTTTTAACACATTTAAAAAGTATGCCTGACTTGCAACATGTTTCCAAGCAACGAATTCGACGAATTGATCGACCGTAACAGGGTTTGGTACATGGGGAGCAACACGAAGAACTGCGGTAATAGCAGCCGTGCTGGGTAAACAGCGTAAAGCTACCAAGTGGCGGTCTACCTCAATTCAACCCAACAAGTCTCTGGAAGTGGATATCACGTACTTATAGTAAAACAGGTAGCAGTACTTGGATGCACTTTAGATTTAAATGTCCCATAGAAAACACTTAAAAATGATTTTTGTCAGGATAAACAAAAATGCAATCCAAAGCCACCACTTCACAGGTAAAAAACAGCGAAAATGGTGACACACGAGAAATTGGCATAAAGTACACACAAACAACTTCGCGACATTCTGATTTGATTGGGGAGAAATTTCATAAATGCTGACAAAAAGTTAAAAAACACCGAGGAAATGTATATTGGTAAGCCTAGGTCTTGAGCCAAGGATGGGCAAGAAGACTCGCCCTATCGCGATCACCGTAGTCATACAGAAGTTCCTCGCCTACGACAATGGAAATATGCAAAAACAAATGAAATGCACAAGTAGTAAATATAAAAGTAAATAGCAACAATGGAACATGAATGGGGTAGCCCTCACAGGATAGTAGACTACTTTCTGTGACTAGTGAACATAAGTGGAACGAGAAAGTTGAGATTACCAGGAATTTACTCGTGCATCTCAACAAACGAGTGCGGTTTTGGGAGAAAAATTTAATGCCTTAGAAATTCGCTGTACAAAATCTGTAATGAGGTCAGATTCTGGCAGAAAAGGCACAGATAAATATGAGATTTAGATTTCACGAGGAGTTATGAATCTGATAAATGGGATATAATATTGACGGACCTGGTGAAATTTCCGTTTTGGCGAAAAGGGCTAATCGAGGAACTCCATCGACAGGGATAACTTTGACGACGCAGTTGGGATGCAGTCGACTGTGGTTGATTAGCCTGCCTAGTTTGTCAGTCTCCTCAGTTGCATCTACGCAGTAACGCTGACCACTAAATAGCAAAAAGCCATTTTCGTTACCGTAGAACATACATTTTCAATCAGATAATAGCTACAATATTTACAGGACACCAAAATAGTTCCAAAAAGTTACATAACAAACATATCAGCACATGTCAACACGTAGTCCGAAAAACACACGCTGATTAAACACACTAAAATGCCAAAATGTCACCACCCTACATAACTTTAACAGTAAAAGTAATGCAGAAATTAAGTTTGGTTGGCGTGTATCGGGGAGACAAAACTCAGGTAAGTGGAAAGAAAATCACAACATGAAAGAAAGAAGCACAAGTTAAGCAACGCCTCGAATTCCTCTGTTAAAGCTGGTTGTGACGACAGGTTTTACATCAGTCAAATGGCTAAATTTGACTTTTGGGCGCACATCAGCATGTCCTGGACGAAAATAGAACCGGCATGACGTTGGAGTATGCATACACCCAACAACCAGGTCGTGAGGTGCACACTTCCACACCCTAGAAAGGCAGGTAAGAAGCACACGCTACAATGTACAACGCTATAAACGACTAGAAATGGCAAACACAAAAGTTCTTACGAAGCTAGTCTGCGCGAAAACATATCAACCATGACAAGTTGCCGTGATGACTGAATGATGCTCAACAATGTTAGCGCCTAGAAGTCGGACTCCCCGCCAGTGTGAAATTGCTTAGAGCCCACCTGGATCACCCAGCGTGAGGTAGAGAGCTTGCTGGCCTCACCTTGGGTAAAATGCGGGAGATGATACGACAATATTTACTGATAGCAGGTTACAAGTAGGTTCTCGAGGCAGTGAGTTTGTTTCTTAAACAAAAAAAACAAATACACAAGATTTCAGCACACCCGTGAGAGAAGAAGAACATGAAAGATCCGACTTTGGGGTCCTTTTTGTACTCGGCCTCGCGAATTCGAGCTTCGCTGTCCGAAATTAGCTCTCCAATGTATTCTACTACGAAGTCTCCTGGAAAGAAGGTCCGGGTAGTAATCACCCCGCGACCTTTTTCCTCTGTTACTACAACCTGAAAATTGCGGAGAAAGGATGGCGACCTTATTCATGACAGAATTTTGACAGTGAGTAGAGAGTGGTGACTCCTTAGAGTAAATTTTGATTTTGATGCATTTATATAGATGACAATTCTTACCTGTGAATGTTATTCAGCCAAATCTTTACAGCCTCAAAAGTGATTTCTTCCACTTAACAATGAAAAACAGCTGCCACGCAAGTAACCAATCATATTGTCTAACGAAATTCACAGATATCAGAAATGTGGCTAACGTGTATGGGCCAATGCAATGCACCTACACCACAAGTAAGCAATAGGAGAGCGTGATTATTGCTTGTAAGGCCTAAAATACATTATCCTATTTCTACATTGTAGTTTAATGCTCAGGACGAAGGTTTTGTAAAATTTACTTTTTCAACGCTTACTGTGGAAAACCGAGTAATTTTTGATTGAAGACAATTGAAGCTATAAATTGGAGGTAAGGGAAAGTAGCTTTGCAAAAATAAGTCAGTCAAGGAACACTTAGGAATTCTTACCTTCATACCAGACTCTTCACTGTTCCGAATAGCTGAAATGACATCAGCCTCCTGTTGTTTCTAAAGAACGATCCAAAAAGGGTACGCAAAAATTTAGAAAAATTGACGGGTGCAAGAAACGTGTGTTAGCTACAAAACGGAGGGGAATGAGAACTTAGGAGAGTAAGTTCGGATGAAACAATGAAGGATTGATTTGGTGATTGTCGTATTGTTAGTGAGCAAAGCAGCCTGAACAACACCAAAGGACCCAGTGAGCAAAATAATGTAAAACAAATACCTGAAAACCACTAAGTGCAAAGTCGACCAGGCAACTGTAAAATGCATTAGATTCCCCAACCATGTGATCAGCAACTTTAAAGAGGATATAAACTCAGTAGCGCAATTAACTTGGCGGACTTACGGTTAGAATTGGGCAGTTAGAAACCGCCTCCACTTACCTTAGTGTCCTTGGCGAACTGTCGAGCCGTCCTCCGGACGCCGAATCCTGTCAGCTGGGTCTGCTGAAGGCGGCCGGACGGTGCTTTGACTCGGGACGTGGGCGAGGCGGCACGCAGCGACTTCTTTGGACTGACTGAACAAGCCTGCTTAGGGTCCTTTGTGGATTTCGACGTCGCTGAGACGAGATCCGATGTACTTACACTTCGACGAACGGTCGTCCGGTGACTCCTGCGAAAGCAAACAGATCAAGTCGCGGCGATAGCAGACTCCCGTATTATCATTTTGGCCTAATCATTAATACGTCGCTTTGCGCCTGCATAAGGACAGGTTAAACTAGCACTGTTTTTCGTATGGTGATTTGGCAAACGCGGCGGCAACTTTCAGAAACAAAGTGACGTCAGTCTTAAACACCTGAGATAAGAGAAAATATTTTTTCCGAGCTTGAGGGCAATGAATTTCTAAAAAAGGTCTTGCTGAAAATAAAAGCAGTGACATAGCTAGACATGTAACTTTAGCTAAGAGACCTCGTTGTTACCAACTAATCTCCCATTAATTCGCATCACTATTATGACAACGCATTTTCAATTATTGCTCATCTTAAGGAAACTGGATGCATAGAACAATATGGGGTAGACATAACGTCCTCTTTGGCAGCAACTTTGTAGACAAATTAACCACAAGTTGGTCCTTTTGAAGACGCCTCAAACTATCAAAATGAGCCTTCAAAAACGAATATATCCAAGAAAATCAATAACAGTACAGTCGATGATCATCTCTAGTGAATTAAAAAAAAACCATAGAAGTAGTAGAACACGGAAATACTAGGAGTCTGACGGTTCGACCTGACTGTGAAATGACTTAAACCGAATGAAACCAGCTGAGGAATGATCAAGAATAAAAAGGGATATTTAGATTACATTTCGTTAAGTACGAAAACATTGATCCAGGTTTGTGAGGTGAAGGAAATATGCTAAAACATTGCACATGCGTGGAAATTAACAATAAATTAACAGTCAAGGCTTTAAGTTAAAAACGAATAAGCCGTTGGTCTCCCCCCATACAGTAGAAGGACTTAAAGTATGAGTGCTTATTTATGTGGGAGCTGGAGTTGAGAATGAAGGCGTTTTAACCAAGACTAGATGAAGTATATAATATTGAGACAGGTGGCACAAACACGGTAAAATTTAAATCAGTGTCAATGAGATATGTTGGCCAAACACAGTGGTTTACAAAAAGTCCCATGACACCAGGAATTGTCTTAATAGGAAAGTAACAGTGAATCGGTGGAGAAATACAGCGAAAGGAGTTCCAGAGCTTCGGTGGGTTTTAGTAAACAACTCACACACCTCGTAGGCTTGGTCGGTTTTTGTGGCGCTGGGATCGCCTGAGGCTTTTCTGCCAGGAGGGTTTGCTTCTGACTGCGTCCAACTCTGCCTCTTTGATTTCGCGCACTAGATGCTGAGGTGTCTTGGACACTCACAGTATCGGCTCCATCGGCCTCCTGATTAGAGAAAAAGACGTGAGGCTGTACCATAAACTAACGAACAGAGAGCCGGATATAATTACATGTACTTTGAACATCACTGCATTCAGAGTTAATTTTCGATTTGTTATAGACGAAAAGACTCACTATCAAAAAATTACTCTTGAGTTAAATTGGGATTTTTAACATTCGATGCTGCCAATTCATGCACTCGATTAGAGGTAAGAAATTGTCGAGTAAATTTAAACGTCCCTGGCAAGAAAGCCTCACTCCCAATTAAAACATTCGATTAAATTGGTTTATCCTGTTTTTAGAAGTTTTTTCTAGCCGATTCTGCAGCGACATACCAAGTAGGCCGTTAAAATATGTAAAAAATTCGATCAAGGAATCAGTTAAAAATTGCCTGGAAGTATGGTAGGATTGAGGTGGCTCAAACGACATTTAAACTAAAACGGCGCGATTAACGTGTCAAGCTCCAATTGGATCAATTCGGAGAAGTTTACATACATGAAGACGTTCATGCTCGCAGTGCCACTTTCGAAAAGTTAAGAGGGCACTTCAAAAAATACTACATTAAATGCCGGATACTGTGTTCAAGGAAGCGAACCACTTTCATAAGAGGACATAAAAAGCAAGCAAATAAAACAAAAGGCGCATTTTAAACTTAAGATACGTAAATAGCGACATCTAATTAGATAATATATCTATGCCACTATTTGTTCTCATAAAAGTCGGCGACAAATAAGCCCCAGATTTTGGGCATTCTTACAGGTGCAACGTTTTCATTGTTTGCGGGGAAAAACTGCTTCCCTTTTTTAGTGTGATGTTTTTTGAATACAAGCGTTGATTGTCTCAGGCCATTGACAAGGGGACTGGTGGGGCTGAGTTCCAGCTGGGATGAAAGAACACGAATATTTTTAGCCGGATCGGAGGCTACAGAGTCCCGCTGATTATTTGACGACATCCAAAGCTAGAAAATGAAAATATCATGGACGTAAAAGGTAACATTTGCAAGGGCAAAAGGCGGGCTCCGAAGTGGAATGATTGTTACATTTTTACTTCGTGCGCGCGGGTTTTAACAATAAATAGCAAAAGTAGTAGTGAAATGAAGGGAAATTAAACATCAGGAACGTCAAACGAAATGCCACAAGACCACTGAGCAGCAGCTGCTTAAGTGACTATGGCGATCTTAAGCTAGACCGGCTGGAAAAGTACTTTAGGCTGCTCTTTACAAAGAGATTGTGTGACAAAAACCGCGAAATGGTTCTAGCTCTTTTATACAAACAGAAAAGTCCGGCACAATGGTGCATGAAGTGAGAACCACTGCCTAAACTTAAATTTCTTGTCAGTAGACATACCAGTAGGGGGTGGTTAGACATTTTTAATCAATTAGATTTTGACTAAATGTCACTCCAGACATACAATTAGAAGTTGAAATATCGGATGTGAGTTGCTTGGCTCTATTGACTAAAAGTGCCACAAGGCCAAAAAGTTAAAAGAGTTTGGACTAAAATGACTATTGACATTGAAAAAAACATAGCGGGAGACAGTCGAGCTATCATCATGTCATAATACGAAGGCTATCACCAAAAGACATACCAAAAACTCTTATTTTCACGTTATTTACTTACGTCTTCTGCGTAATTTTATCATTTCAAAAAGAGATTAAATTCAATTTAGACAGTTTAAAGTGTACCTCTGTGTGCATCAAAACAGGCAGGCATGATAGTTAAAAAAATGCATTATCTTGTTCCTGGAAGAAACTTTACATCAACATGCAATACTGAAATCATAAGACAGAACCCACCCTAAACGCAAAACGGGAAAGCCGAATACGCTGATTGGCTTGTTTCCAAGATTAAAATTTCAGAACAATTCTTACAGAGGATTTAAATAAATATTGGTTGATTAAACGAAGCATCTTTATTTTTTAAACGATTACACTAAAGAACCATATAGCAATCAGAGGTAGTGGGTCATGAATTTTTGACATTGGATAGAGATGATTGCAACATATGCAGGTAAAAGGATGGGTGAGCATGTAGTGGTATATTTTTCAGACTTCTCCAATATATTCGTCAGTAATTCGGGGTCGTCGTTAATCAGAAATTGTTCTGGTGCTAATTCGCGCCTAACGTCAATAATGTCAGGCGTTTGCGCATTTTGTCCATTAAATTAAACCTAAAACCAGTGTAAAATTTTCCATGTTATTCCCGTATGACCATGTGTTTTACTATACTTATGTTGTTTGGACTCTACTAGTAGTCATCATTAGTGCATAACGGCGAATAAAATTTAAGGTACCAGGTTTTTTGGTCTTTATTTACTGCTTATAAATCCACCATTGCTATTGCAGGTGTTATGTACAGCTTAATACTAATTTATGGTGTGTGGCAAATAATCATCTTCGCTTGAGTTATGTGTTGTTACCATACTAAAAGAACGGTGTGATTTACTAAAGCATTATTGACCATGTGTTTTTTAATTGGGATGAACACCTCATGCCATTATGTTAACAGAGTATTATTCACACATTTTTCGTTAATTTTTATTCTAAAGAGATTAGTGTTTTGATGTCTGTTATTTGAAATAGCACACACATGCTGTTGAAGGCCCCAGATTTTCTAGTGTTGACATTAATTACTCCATCGCGAGAAACAAAATTTTGTTGACATGTACTGTTTACAACAGCGAGCTGTCCAAGAATCATGTGCCAAATTCATTCGGTCAGGACAACTTTATGTAAAATGTTGGCTACTTATGGCTGATGCCCCTTTGGATTACCGAAGATTACCTTTGCTGATAATCCATGCCAGTATTTCAAGCTTGTCCTGATTTGGTTCGCCAAAAAAACTCGGAGGTGAAAAGGATCATTTAATGTAAATCCAGTAGACAACAAATTTTATATAGGACTTATCATAATTTTTTGTAACTAAGGTAAATCAACATTAACAGTAGAGTGTATGTATAAAAGCAGCCTCAGGATTACAGGAAAACTTGTTAAAATAGACGAATAATTAACAATTAGAAAAGTTTTACATTTTATACAAGTCAGGCACGCCACACTCTGCGACCTTGAGCTCTGTTCATGCCTGGTAACATCTCCCTTTATTTTAACCTTTTAAGGCCTGCCCCACAATTAATGTATGGATTGTCTCCTGTCTCCCAAACTTTATCGTCCAGTTTATAATCTTTTTCCTCCATCCGTTTTGCAACCGTGTTCTAAAAAAAGTCTTTTAGATGTTCCCAATCTCACCATCCCGCACTTTTCTCCAAGTGTTTGCTTGGATTGCATGTCTCGCGCTGACCCGTCATTAGTTCATCTCTTCTCGTAGGTCAGATCCCTCCTCGCATTGTACAAGCAGGATATATGATTGTGCCGGATTAAAATATTGTTCCGAAGAAAGCAGTTTAGCAAAAAATGTTTAAAGAGAAATAAAAACACAAATATTACACCACAAACCCGCAATGTTTTTCGTCAAAACAACCATAAATAGAAGAATCCAAATTTAGTTTTTGAAGGAATGTAGATGAGCTAAAAACGTTTTATCTAATAAGGATTCATATAACACCTTCGTTATCACCAAAAAGCATCAGGACACTCATATTATAGTCAGAATTGTGACAATAAAAAATGGCGATACATTAAATGAATCAGGCTTCGTTTGGGTTTCATCTACAATCTTTTTCCATAAATTAAATTTGCTAAAGGATATTTAAAAATTCCTCCGAATACTCCAATACTTAAACACAATTTTTAGACACGAAATGCCATGTGATTTCTCACACAGAATCGTTGGTGTCAGGATAACCCGTAGTTGAAGCACCTTGGAATGTCTACCCATTCCTTCT